TCAGTGCAGCTACCATGATGCTGTATTGAAGGAGAGTGAAATCAAGGCAGGTGGGCTCAAAACATTTCCCATTAATATTATATGTAATTGTTACAGAGTTCATCAAAAAGTTATTCCTTTACTAGGTTTGCAGTGAATTAGTTACATGCCAACTGTTGGACAAATATATAGCGTTTTTAAATTAAACACGCTTTCACATGGACAGCAACAGTTCCAGTAAAGGAGAAATGTTTAAACAGTGATAGCTTGTTACAGCCCATAGGATCTATTAGAGAACAGAATCATCTCCCAGAAGGAGTACTGGTATTAAGGCACTTAAAACTTGCCTGGACACAACACCACTGCAAGAGCTTTCTTCACTGGTAAATGACAGCCTTTCTGGCTCTAATTTCTGTGATCAGTTTACTGTGGTGTAAATCAAAGCTGAATCACAGTAATGTCTTGGCACTCTAATATATTGCCTTAAACCACATGAATGCTGAAATAGGGAGTTCTTGTACATTTGCAGACTGGATTCCTTTTTTTCCCAGCCTGTGCTTTTTTTTTTTTTTTAAGACAACATCAGAATCAAAGAACACTTTTCTGTGCTTTTCATCAGATTTAAATCTCTTTAATCAGTCAGCTAGATTATGGAGCTCTGATAGGTGGCATGGCTTTTTGGAGAGAGCCAACTGAAGGACTTGCCGCACATATCCTGGTTCCCAGGCCCCTTGCCAGCAGCAGGGTGTGATGTAATAGCCTTTCACGCTGAACAAGTTAACAGCCTTGGGTTTGATTTTACTACATTTTGGCTAAGAAACAGCATAAATAGTCTTGCAGGGAAGTGCTACTGTTTAACAAGCAGGTAGCTGCAGAAGCAATCTTGTTTCCCTGCTCTGTATCTAGGACTGGAAGAGAGTCCCAGCTGTACATTACATCTCTCTTCTTCCATATGCCGGAGCAGCGAAGACTGTGTAGAACAAATACAGACCGGACTCTTTCAGTCCCTCCTGTGTGCTATATCTGCAGTTTTAACAGGACTGGCTCATACAAGCTTAGCGTAAGTCTCAGACTACCTTCTGGGTGTGATGGCCTCTTTAAGAACGCTGGAAAATTACCTGGCTCAGAAGTTATTTGGAGAACAGTGGTTAACTACACAATCATATGGAAAGGGTCATTTGTAAGCATGTTCTGCCATTGTCACTTCTTCTGAGCAGAGGAAGCCCCAACTTTGTTTTTCATGAAAAGAGAACTCCTCAGTTTGGAGCTAGCATCTTCTTTCTCTGGCCTGGCCTCCTCTCATGCTGGGAAAGGGGAAACCCCTAAGGGCCAGGAAATGATGTACCACAAAAATGCCTGTGTTTGCAGAAGACAGGGAATACTGCTATTTTCACAGTGTCTTATGCATCAGTGGAAGAAGAAAAGATGAAACGAAAAGGATACAACCACATTAAGCTCAACATACTACATTCCACTTTAAAATAGGAGCAAAGCGGAAACAGGGCAAACATGTTCGTTATTGAATTTGCAACCTTTCTACATTCCTTTCATGGTTAGTAATGTCACATTAGAGAAGAGTTATCATTTACCACTTACTGCCTGAAGGTTACACAGTCCAAACAACACAGGGCCAAAGTACAGAGTCATGAACTGTACTGTGAAAAATCAAATTGCTCCTTCCCCATTTAATGCAGCGCACAGTAATCTTTTGGTATAGCTTTGATCTCTTATCAGCTGAATTTCTCATTATAACCTTCTAACTCAACCACTAGGAACACTACACACCCAGAGAAAAGCCTCTAAGAGCTGCTGCAACGGTGCATCACAGCCTCATCCCATCTAGCTTTGGGCACCTAACAGAAGTGACTCAGAAATGCAACACCCAGAGTCACTCCCTTTATAATCAGCACCAAAAGGCTGTTCAGCCCACTGAAGATCTGTTTCATCCCCTGCAAACGCCTCTCTGGGATAAGAGACAACTAGAGCTACTATACTCCCAACTTAAGCAGCTCAGATAGGTTTCTAAAGTTAGGTGGGATAAATCCAGACCTTAGTGATTATCACAGACATCCATGTAGCATGAGGTTAATTGTTTAGGTTTGTATACTGTGTTGAGATGATACTCCCTGAAGGAGGATCTCCCTCTGTCAGGAACTGTCTCCCACATTTTATTCCCCTCGCCAGAATCTAAGGCTTAAAAGTCACATCAAAATACACACTGTTCTAAGTGCTACTAAAACACAAAAGGTTTTAATTAGATCTGCTGGAAAATAATTATTTTTATTCTTTCCTCCATGCCTTCTGTCTTACTGAACAGATTTAACCATTCCGTGCCACAGTCTCAGACATATAAAAACCAAGTACACAATCAGCTTCAAATGCAGTTAATTATAAAAATGAGCTAAGATTAGTTCCAGGTCCTGATACTGCACCTTCCTATAGTTACCTGCTGTTTTGTGGGGTTTTATAATAATAATTCCAGGTTTGGGTCCAAGGGTTCTTCTTTACTACTTCAGTATGTATATCAATCATGAATAATAGTTCCGGGATCTCACACATTATCGTCACTAGTTAAACAGTGTAATAAGTAAATGAGATTTAAGTTGACAGAGCGCTGTAGATATGATTAACTTCTCATTTCAGATGTCAACATAGAAGCTTCCCTGTCATTAAAGTGATCATCTAAGAGCATGGCTACTATGAAATCATTTATCGTCTAATTTATAGTGTGGTTTTAAGATAATTGGAATTGTTATGCCAAGAAATGGTGATTTAAGTAAACAAGAAATTGAGTTTGCATTTTATGGATTTATTTATGGTATGCTCATTGTGAAAACATGTATTTATTAATGCACAGCTCAGAATAAATTAAGTGTTTGAAATACAGTACTTAAATCAAAAATGTTGGTCTACTGCTGTCATATTTGTAAAGGAATGATAGGTAAATAACGTACAGGGATTGAAAGACACAACAGTCCTGAGTCAACACACATCAGCTTCAGATTCATGCCCTTCTGCACAAACTTAGCCTTTCCCTCCTCTAACAGTTTCTCCTCCTAGAAGAGCAAGGCAAATCTCTCTCTCTGGTCTGTGTTGAAAATTAAACATCTGGGGCTTTGTTCTGCACAGATCTGTAGGTGCTGACATTTGTTCCGAAGTAAACAAAAAACCTAATGATTCACTGGCAGCCCAACTCATAAATGAGTATCCAGGGTAGAAAACAAAGATAATCAGGCACTACACATACTATCTATTTCTGTATCTTCTGAACAGGAGATAATTGAGTCCATACTGAATTTCCATCCAGACTCTCTCTTGTACTTCTATACAACCACAACATTTGATAAATACTTGCTGAAAATTCTGTTTCTTTATTCTGGCATCTTCTACTCAACTTCGTATTTTCCGAATCAGCAAATAATTAAAAACAAACTTTTCAGTCTTTTGGTCAGTGGAATGTGCTAAGATGATGTTGTTTCCCCATTTCTATTCTAACAGGTACAAAAGACTCCTCTGTAGCTGCATAACAGAGATAAACACATTCATATGCAAATAATGACTGATTGACTGAAACCTACCAAAAATATTTTTGTGTCCTTTTGAGTTTCATAATTTATGTATCCCAAGACTACTACTTACACGGAAAGGCACTGAGTTGGCTGAAGAAAAGGTACTGCTGGAGTTCCCTAACTATAAATGTAGGATTTTTTTTTTTTAATACTTTATTTACTTTTGCATAGCAGCAGAACAGAAACTCTGTATTTTGTAGGGAGAATTTGTCTTGCTTAATCTAGAAAAACAAAGGCTGGTTACAGGTACAACAAGATGTAACAGAAAATGAATGAAAATAAATGGCTATTAAGTATAAGAGCAAATGGTCATAACCTTTCCATGAAAAAAAAAAAAAAAGGTTAAAAATCAGAGAGTTCCTAACCCATTACAGAGGGGTCCCCAAAACAAGGCACCTGTTTTACTGGATGTGTGCAAATGACTTGAAAATAGTATATGAACACTGATCCAGTACCTAAACGCTTTCAGCATAACAACAAGTGCTGCTACTGTGGAAGGTACCTAACACAAAAGCAAAAAACTTTTGGGATTGCTAAGAACTGGAATGAAACAGAACTTGTAGCCATTCAACAGAGAAACAGACCTCATGAACCTTTATGTCCTTTACAGTTCTAGATTTCTAGATACAGAAAATGTCCAAGATTTTATATTCTGAGTGGAAAAGAAAAAAAAAAAAAAAAAAAAAAAAAAAAAAAAAAAGAAGAAAAGCTGGGAAAGACAGATGCAAGGTAGTTACCTCTGGGGACAGATCAGAGTCTGCAAGTTCCATGAGGCAGGGGAATCGTGAATGGAAACATACGGTTAATGCAGAGGAATGAACACAAAAAAGGAAGAAGGGTCAAAAAGGCAGAGGAGAAAAGTGAAGAAGAGTGACGCCTCTGAGGCCCAGGCTGGCCAAAGGAGAGGGGAGGAGGCACAACAGCATGCAGTGCAGATGTTGTGGTGGAGAGTATCAGAAGCTGGAATTCATGTATTGCCAGGAACTGCTGAGCTCATGCATTCCCAGGAGCTGAAGAAACCACACTATGAAGACACCCCTACTACGTGGGGGGGGGGCAGTTAAATACCCTGGTAGTGCTGCCCTTCTCCCTCTACTCTCTGAGCTGGGGCAGGAGATGTGATAGCAACTAGTGCCATTAGTCACCAGCTGTCCCAGTCATCTCAGACTTCAGAGGCAGCAGGAACTCAGAACCCTGCAGCTCATACTGTGAATTTCTTTTTGATGTGCTCTCCTTGGCTGCTAGCTCTCTCAACAGCTCTTCCTGAGGGAGAGAAAAGATAATTCTAAATAAAATTGTATCCTTCTCTAAAGTGGCATCTCAGCAGTGTATGCTGGGATCTGCAGCCACTGCAAAACTCACCTGAGAATAGTGCAAAAATTAGTTGCTTTTTGGGTAAATCAGAAGGGGAGCTACCACCTTTGGATTCCTTGTGCCTGGTCAGCTGAATACTAGGAAACCTGAGACAAATTTGAAGTAAAAGGCCCATGACATTGTTCTTGTTCTGTTCCACAGTATGGACACACACGCTGTAGCCCATTGGTTGTAATACAAGAAACAGTTAAGACACAACCCTGTGTATTTCCCATTGGAAAACTGGACACATGCTTTACTTACTGGTTTTGAGGTAGCACAGGGAGCTGGTGTCATGACGGGAGGCTTGGCTGCACTTTGAGATGGAGGCAAAGAAAATCTCTGCCCTGTGTCTGGAGGTGAAGAACAGTGAATCCGTGTTTCTAGTCTCTCAGGCTCATGCTTATAGGATTCAAGAGGAAATGTGGGCTGCTTGGTCACTTGTGTTGGGGTAGATGGAGAAGAGGAGAGGCCAGAGGCTGTAAACAAGAATAATTACCAAAGATCAGTTCAGAAGAAAAGCAGACAGAAGTCTCAGCTTTACAGTGAACCTGTTTTTTCCATCATATTTCCCCAGACTATAAGTATGTATCACACCTCCCTGTTTAGAAAGGAATTGCTCTGCCTTGCCATTAAAAGTCCCTTGATCATTCAACTGGTTGAACTGTATGATCCATTTACAGGGAGGCAAGACGGGAGTGCTGGAGGTTCGTGTTGTACTAACCTCCTGTCTGATTGCTTATTTCTAAAATGATCCTCAGCACTTGTTACTTTAGTGTTATAATTTTAATACTCCTGCGAGTCTCAGGATTACCTCTATCTCATGGCAAACGGCTCAAGAGCTTTAATGGTTGCTTTTTCTTCTTTTTCATTATTTTAACAGTATCTCAGACACCACTTAGAATAAAATTAGCAGAGGCAAAATGAAACAGGGCATATTTCCCATGAGCCTCAGTCTGCTTTCTATAAGGCTCTTGACAATGCCTTTATACGAACTAGATTTTTTTTCAGCAGCCTTTGAGGAGAAAAATTATTCGTATCTTTTGCTGAATATTAATATCAGCAGCAGATCATTTCTCTTGTGAGCATCCTGTTTTCATTTGACCCATGTATCTACCCCAGCTGTATTTTTGGTTACATTCTTAGGGCAGTTCTGAATTGTGATCAGACAGAGCATTTAAGATATATTTATAATCCATTTAAAAACCAGAAGACATCCATAACCAATTAGAAAATACAAGTTACAACATCTGTGTTTCTTGTTATATCTATGTGTACGTCAGCAAACAAAGGATGATTCGCTTATGCCAGCATAAAATCAGGATAGACTTAAATGCATAAAAACTATGCTGAACAGAAAAACTTGGCTGAAGAGAGCTACATATTTTTAAGTGGGCTATATGATCTTGGAATTTGGTTCACTTCTTGTACTTCCAGATATTTGTGCAGATGATCAGTTAGTCCAGAGGGCACCCATCGAAAGGGAGTAGGTAAGATAGCATTTGGTAAGCACAAAACCCCAAGCCGTTCAAACATGTTTGAGAACATGATAATGCATCTTCATGATAAGTCTAGTTCATCTTCTTTCAAGCTTTCAAGGAGCTTTCAAGGCTCCACCAGAGATTTTTGCACTAGAGATTTTTTCCCATTCAAAAGCTTTGCATTGGTGTACACGCAGCCTCCGCTGGTCCCTCCTTTCAATCCAGGGTAAAGTGCATTCGTACAACTCACTTTATACTCATTACTTCTCAGCGTCACATTTTACCTCACAGACAGCATTTTCAAAGAAAACTTTGTATTGATGGAAAGAATAAACTCAGTAATAACTAAGATGCCAGACTATGAAGACTAGAAATCCAGCAGCTGAGAGAGGGATCTACTACTTTAAGAAACTATTTCTCCTGAAATATCTGAGGAAGAGTTATCTTATCTTGTGATTAAAGGAATTAATGAGGAATATAGGTAACTGTTCTTTAGCTATTGTTCTTCACCAAAACCAACCTTTCTTGATGGCTTTTACATATGAAGACACTTAATTTTAAGAGAATAGAATCAAGAAACCTGTAAAATAATTAAGCTCTGATGTGTTTTATTTGTAGTGATTTTAGTGGTGTGGTGTAACGTATTTATTTCTTTCAAAGGAAATCCTAACTCTTGCTGAAAAATTTTAGCTTTGTTGGAATCAAAAAGGACACCCTACTTAGTCCCTCTCTTCAGTCCTTTTCCAGAACTGCAGCTGCCCTCCAAAGACTTTCATTTCATTTCATATAGAGACCTGCAGCTCTGCCAATCAACCACAAGATCCAGTGGAGACTGGGTGTCAGCTAACATGACATGCCATGGGATGAGGCAAGAATAACAACCCTGGTATTCTGAATGTTCTTAATTTCTGATTTCAGTGGGACTGGAGAGTGTTGCACATCCTGAAGGATTAAAAGGACACCTAACTTGCCTGTTCGATTTTTGCTTACAGGCAAATTTAAATAAATAGTTCTGGGGAAGATGCTCTTCTTTTCTGTGTTATTATAGATGTACAAACATTTCCTGAGCACTCAGACTGGGGTTTGAGGTGGACGGTAGCTGTAATTGATGCAGATGTAAAACCACTAAAAGGGAGAAAAACACCATTATATCTTGAAGTCTTGCTGCTGGAATGTGTTCATTGTGCACTAATGTATTCAGCAAGTCTACAAAAAACATTTCCAGTATAAACAAGATCTGCCAAAAGAGCTATTACCAGACATAAGGAAACCACATATTCACCATCCTAACAAGGCTGGCTTGCAAGTGTAGAGGACATCTGTAGGACACAGGAAGACGTGGATCAAGGGAGACAAAGGAAGTAACATTTCTTAACATCCTATGAAACGATTACCACCTTATTATAGATGTGTAACAGCACAGCCAGGACAGACAGTGTGGTTTCCATTTTATAAGAACATTCACTGGGGGTAAATCTCCTTTTGGATGCCAGCCTTGGACACTTGGCATGAGTTGTTATGGATGAAGAGCATCTGTAACTCCAGCAACTTCACTGGGAACACTCTGAGCTTTAGAACTGTCTGTTCAACTAAGCACCTAAAGCATAAAAGTACTCACTGTGAGACACACCCTAACACATTTGAGATTCAATTTTTCTGTGACTCAGTTTCCACACAGAGGCGGAGGGAAAATTATAATTATTTGATTAAATTACATAATTCAGCTTTCCAATAATTGGTATTTAAAAGCCTACCTACCTCATAGCATTATTGTGGTACCTATGTTATTTGCATTTGTACAATACTGAAATTTAAGGGATAATTGCGTAGGAAATGTTAAATATTTTCAAGACTATTAAAACAAAAGACTTTTGGCTGCTGTGAGGCAGCTCAACATCCTAAACCCTACAAAGGGTTTTATATAAGCCTGCCACATGAAAAAATGAAAATCTGTAATATGTCCTCAGACCAAAATCAATTCAGGAGTAACAGAACTTTGTAATCCTATTGGAGCCATCTAAACAGGCAGCACTGGTGTAAATAGTTACATGTATGTGCAGTAGCCACCCTGTTCTACTACAAAAGAAGTCAATCAAAGAGACACAGTACAGCTATATCCCATGGCTGAAAATTGTTTCTTTTGGAGAAAGTACATGTATAGAGTCTTCTATAACGAAACTAAAATATGCAGTACGTATGTAGGATTTTGGAGAAGAAACAATCTTCGAGATTGGCTGGTTCTGGTAACAAGATGATCTGATATGGCAAGTAATTATCTTATGCTAAATCAGACAATGAAATGCATAATGAAGTGTCCTTTTTCCATAACATAAAACTAGAATTTTAGACAAAAAAATAAAATAATAAAATCTAGCAGATCAGTTACTGTGTCAGAGTTACTGTGTCACTGGCTAACACAAGGTTTTGTCCCATGTTTTCTATTGATTGTCCCTGCTGAGTTTTAAAACAGTCCAAAAATTTTGCTTTGTTCTGATTCATCCTGACATTTCCCAATAACTATGTGGTCTCCATGTTGATGAATTATAAGCCCTGACATTTGCATAATTGAATATGCATATGAATAATAATATTCATAAGACTATATGCATACATGCATACTATGATGCATTAAAGAAACAACTTTTGTATTATAGTATACCTTTACTCAGAGTATGTATTTGAGATCCTAACAGAACTAAATACCACCATTTGAGCAAAATGGGGTGATCTCCAGTTGCCTTCTCCCTGTGACAGTGTTGTCTCATTCAATTCTGTGCCTGTATTTGTGCATCTTCAGCTGGGATCTAGCCACACATCACAGGTTGGATGCACAAGCCCCAAGAAAGTACTGCTGTAACAGCAGAGCCCACAGCTTTGACCCAAGTTAGCACACAACACTACCTGGTATTTAGTTGGTCACAAACATACAAAAATAATGCTGCTACCTTCACTTGTTCCTCTAGGTATTTGCAACTATTTCTTTTAAATAAAGCCCTTATTTTGCACAGCATTAAGTTTTCCACTCACCTACTTGGGCATTCTGATCCAAACCATCTCTCCAATAATACATAACAGGAAAGGATAAAGCGCTACGTTGTCATTCGCCTGCTCCCAAGGGAAGAAGGGTGTCTGCCCTCCTACATTCCCCGGGTGACACCCACAATTAGTTCTGTCACCTACATTTCATGCCTGACCTGGCAGGATACATCTGGCTGTTTCTGGGAGGGAGGATGCTCACAGCCCAGTGATTGCTGCCAAAGCTACCCTTTTATATCAACCCTTTTCCAGCAAGAAAAACAGCCTCTTCCTCCACGAACCTTTGAGGCCACCTGTCCACAAATGATGCTGCTAGGGGTTTCAGGGATGTGCTAATACTCCTGTACAAAGGGTGGCTTCAGGTGGTTTGTAATAGAGTCACACCCCCCTGTTGATGGCCCAAAGAATACAGCCAGCAGCCTGCTCTCAAACTTTAATTTGTATTTGTGTACTTAAGACAAAGTAGCCAAAACTGGTGAGAGTTACTAACCTTGAAAAATAAATCACTTTTGCAGTTTACCTCTTCCTAGGAATCACACTTCAGTATTCTCCTGTCCTGTACCTGATCAAGCAGATAATGCCATTGCTAACATATAAAGCCTGTACTGTTGTTATTTAGCTTTCCAAGATTACACATAGGGATATATTCATTTACCGTTTAGACTGAAACTTCTCCAAAAAAATCTAAAAGGAATTTCTATTTGCCAAGGCTTCACAAGACACTTTCTAGATGATTCCTTCCCAGGACAAGACTGTCCTTTTATTTCCATTCTTCAGCTGGCAGTGAAACAGAGAAGGCGGCAGTCTGTGGCTCCTGAATTTTAAGTAGTTAGCAGCACAAGTGAATCTGAGTTGAGCCAGCTGTTCATTAAGCTGATTCACTCTTCAGACACAATACTATGTTAATTTTTACACATAAGCAAATTGATGCACATTATGTGAAATGACGATTAATGCCACTT